TCCCTCGCTCTGTTCAACAGCCACAGCAAACCTTAATGCCTTCAGGCACGAGGCTTTAGTGTTGTCAGTAAGAATGTCACAAAATCACACATTAGTGTTGTTAAAGAAATCAATACGTATTTGAGACAGCGAGTAGGAGAGCCAGGGTCTGCGCATGGCCCAGAAACGGCCAAGTGATCGATGCCAAAACATGACTCCACCGGGAGGGAGATAGGTGACTTGCTCCAGTGCCCTGTGAGGCAGAGCTCAGACCTGCATCATTCCAGGGAGTTTCAGTGTGAGGCTGTGACGTTAATCATTTGCTGTGGCCCTTAGTCTGGTGCCTGCATACTGCACTTGTGATGACAAGTGATTTTCATTTCGGTTTTTCCAATTATTTTCGGCATTTTGTACATTTTCTCGAGGTTAGCGAGGGTTGCACATATTTCCCTCTTTTCTATGCAGCATTGTGATTGGCATTTTTAGTGTTCCGACATCCTGATTCAACGAAGGCTGAGACAATCAGCTGTGCCTCAGATTTTCCATAATGGAGCCTGTGATACAATTAACAGATATGAAAAACAAATAGCTGAGCAAACGAAAGCAGCTCGGGTAGAAACAGGAGAACATCCGTAGAGAAAGTGCAGTGTAATTTCAAGGTTCGTTTTTTCACAATTGGCGCTCTGACACCAGCTCCGCAACACATCTCACCATAGCAAATTAAGCGGTAAAGTCTGTCTTTTAGAGGGCGCTATGACAGGGACAGATACGACCTGCACACCTTCTTCCAGTTATGGGCACTATCAAAAATGTCGAACAAGGGCCAAAAACTGGACAGAACATGAAAAAACATGTTATAACATTTTATCCAAAATGGTTATATTCAGCTCCAGGAGTACGCAATATGTAATATGTTGGAATAAAAGCAGATGGGAAATAGCATACCTATGTTAACAATAACATATTAATTAATCAAATCTGATCACGCTCCTCACCCTACCTCTGTTATAAACAGTTGAATTCTCTGTCCCCCTAAGTATGAGTTAAAGTGTACTGCCTGCCTCTTTCTACAAGAGTTCCCCTCTCCCCCTCTATACAGAACACGAAAATTGCTTGCACTTGCAAAGAACACATACATTCTTTGAACTTTGTGTTTTTATCTGTGCCTCCAAGCATCCTTACAAGCATACTTAAGATGAAGGTTTCCTGTTTTCAGTTTTGCATCTTGCTGTGAAGATTACATGTTGATTCTTGACTGCAGAAAAGGTACCTTGAATTTATAAGCTGGATGGGAATTGTCACAGCAGTATAGAATCATTCTTGACTATAATGCCCAGCCTTCCTCTATCTGTGGAGAACAGCATTTGGCTTGTATGCTGTGTCATCATCTTTTAAATTGCAGGAAGCAATAAATAGAAGAATAAAGATGTTGTTTTCTCCTGTATCCTCTTTAAGATAAATACATACAGGATAACAAGTGAGACCAAATACTGTGGTCCTGGAGAGCCACAGTTCAGCTGTTTTTTTTTTATAGTCACCTTTAAATAGTAAATCCAAAAAACGCTTGGAAGAAAAACTCCATTGTGACCACTGAAGCAGGTCATTTCTTTAACTAAACCGTTTAGAAAACACCTGGGACAACATCGTGTCCCTTGCCATTTTTGGACGTTTCATCCATCCATTTTCTAACGGCTTCTTCTGAATCTCGTTTGCTTGGGAGCCAGAGCTTATCCCGGCAAGAAACGGGAGAACACACAGTACAAACTCTACGGAGACGGCACCCCAGATCCAGAATTGAACCCAGGGCCCCAGCACTGCGAGGCAACAGCGATAACCACTGCACCACCATGCTCCCTAAAATGTCTGAAGGTTTTGAACGCTGGAGGTGGAATCTGAATCTGTCTTCCTGGAGGCGTTCAGCGTCTATAAGAGGGATTTAGCCCATTAAGCCATCTTGGCTCTTAGGATGTGTCGTTCTCCTTTCCTAAGACCCTTTAGTTTGGTGTGGTCTGTTACTTGGCTGTCCAGGCCAAGCCAATCTTTGGCTCTACTGATGTGGGAAAAAAAAGTAACATCTTTTGCATAAAATTCCTTAAATGTTTGCAATAAAACATACCATGGGATAACTAGAACACCAAGGTAAATTGCTGTATTGAATCTTTATCACTGGTTTCTTAACGTTTGCGATGAGTTAAATTACCGAACTCATACAAAAAAGAATGCGTAAAGTTCATATAGACCCCTGTACAAATATTTTTGGATACAAAAACGTCCAGTATTATTTTTTTTTTGGAGTACTCCAGTTCTTCAGATTTATTGTATGTGAACTAACTAATACCGTTCTTCTCGTTCTGAAACAGAAAGCCTGTAAACACAGCTGACACCTGGAATTCCGTCAGGAGGAACGTGTTTTTCACACCTGGGCCTGCACGAGGAGGAAGAGGGAAGTGGAACTCCAGAACGGGACCCGCGGCAGAATAAGAATCTGCTTTTCAGGCCTGGGAGGCGGAGACGGCAACTTCGAATCGGCCGTGTGCTTCCCAGATGACCCGGCAACCTTTGCCAACAGCAAGGAAAGTTGAGCAATCGCACTGTACGTCGCGCTTAAGCCAGGTTACACCTGAATAAAGTTTACACTGAAAAGGGTTCCAGCTGTACGTGCTCCTCTGACACACTTTCACATTCACGTTTTTCCACCCTATTTCCAGATAGCGCACTGGTGAATGATGTCTGCTCTGCAGGGTTCATCAGATTTAATTGGAGGGAAGCAGAGCCTACCTGCTAGAGAGCACACAGCACACAATGGAATGCCTCTCTGTCTCCCTTTCAACTTCTCGTCTTTCCACCATCTTTCATTACTTAGAACATTACTTTCTCCCCCCCCCCATCTGTTCTAACCCTGTTCTTCATTCTGAGCTTCACTTTGCATTATATTCAGTATGGTTTAAATTTGGATAAACGTTTCATGGCTTTGAAAGGAATTGCTGCTGAACTTTGAAACGCAATCGGACATTCAGTCCCGAGGGCATTTATTCTCGAATCTAAGGAACTGTGATAACATTTAAATTGAAAAAGCAAGGAGAGTTCCCCCTTTCAGGAATTTTAAAAGGGAAGACAGATGCACGACATGCATGACATTCTGTATACATGTAAACAGCAAACAGCAAATGTGAAGTAAAAAATAAAATTACAGACAGGGACCTGACTGTAGGACTAGAATGAGGAAAATTAACAGTTATATGCAAAGGGGATCATTATTGTTATTGGATTTCCATTCTAAATGAGGTTTTTGATGGGCTTTGAAACAAATAATACCTGTTCTTGTATCAGAGATAACCATAGTTCATCCAGAGTTAATACTTTCAAGCGTTATGAAAGGACTTACTGTATGTGTGGAGACCGACATGAAAATCAACTAAAAACAAGTTTAACACTAATAGCGGTGATATGTAGTGTATATCCACCATCAACATACATATTTTCATACGGTAGTTCTTTCATTTCATTTGGTTTAGTTATTAACCCTTCATTTGCCTGTTTTTGTGTTCTCTTTTCTCGGTTTGGTACTTACTATGTAATTTGTCTTTAGTACTTTAGTAATTAATAAATAAATAAAGAACGACCAGATCAATCAAAAAGGCTGGGTATTTGAAGATGAAGCAACAGCAATGCTTGGTAAATTATCATGGATATTGTTATTCATCAATATTCTTTAAAAAACATTTGAGAAAAGCTTTGTGAACAGGAAAATTTCCCAAATAGCTTATGTTACAAATACCTCAGAAAGGGAATCTTTTCTGACGTTAATAGTAATTTGTAATACACTGCAAAAATGGCTGTTGAGTGTATGACTGCCTTTGTTTGCACTTTCATTCATTTCTGCTGATTGGATATTTAAAGACATTCCTGGAAAAAAAAACAAACAAAAAAACTTGCTCAAGTATTTCTTTCATGATGAAGGAATCCAAACAAACTTAAGATGTCTGAGGATCAGCGATGACAAATGCTTTCTGATTGGCTGTGGCAGAACACATTATTCAGCGTGGTTCGTTAAAGGCTAAAGTTTACTTTGGATTCCAAATTTACCATCCACCCCATCAAAATTTAGCATGCTGACAGTCTGTATTCTAATCCAGGCAAAATTGCTTTTCAGCAGTTTTAATACATCTCTCAAATCAAAACCTTCTGGGACACCAGGAGCAAACAGTACTATTTGTGTTCATCTTGTTCCTCCAAATAATTTGGAGGTCTTGTTGTGTAGGTGCTTTTGGGACACACGCAGGGGTGACCTTTAAAAGTTGACACCAAGACCATAAAACCACTTCCTCTTTGAAATCCAAGAATACGTTCCAGACCATAGTTCTCTGATAAAAGATAGATATTCACAGATAAAAGAGAGGAATCAAAAAAGAGGGGAAATTGTTATTCAATATCAAACTGTGCAGTGTTGGAATTTACTGTATAAGATTTCTGCCAAATATTTTGCCAAAACTTTTGATAATTGTATTAAAATATGTATGAGGTGACATTTTTGATAAATACAACCATATGTCTGAATATGCATACATAATACCCCTTGATACCAATGACACGGTACTGTCTCCCCATTTCAGCCAGCCATGATAAAAGGTAAAAGTAAAGAAAAGTTTCAAAGCCTTTTTGAAACTTAAATCATTATGCGTTCCATAATGAAAAACGTCTGTAAAGAAATAAATGTCTGGTGTGCTTGGAGAAGAATACAGGACCCATAATTAACACGGTGCAAAAGAAATCAGTTTGTCAGCCACCAGTGAAGTTTGTCAGTTAATGAGCTGGGTATTGACCATTATACAGTATAAAAGTAGTTCTAAAGAGCTTCAAAAGAAAAACAACAAAGCATTCGGTTTGCACTGTTCAATTCAGATATTTAGTCAAAATATAGATCCGAAGTGAAAGGAAAACATTGAATTTCAAACAGTTAAGATGTGAAAATACAATTTGTGAGTAAGGAGGGCAGGGAATGGAGTTATTGTTGAACTTACTGTTGGTTGCATAACATATGGTTGATGTGGCATCCATGATGTACTCTGGACCTGCGTGTAAAATGCCCATCGTTAGTAAAACAGCCTGTAGCTGGACAAAAAGTGTAGAAGGCAGGAAACAATTGACTCAGGTCAGTGACCGTTAACATCGGCCTTCAGAGAAATGTCCGTACCAGAATTCTTTCATCTGCTTATTTCATTTCCATTTGAACATGATGGTAAAAAGAATTTTCTTGTTTGAAAATCTGATTTCATAACGAGCACGCATTCCACTAAATGACCTTGCAGTTACTGATTTATGTCTGTTTTTTTTTTTTCAGGGCAGTGACAGAAAATGAACATAAAAAAAATCCCAAGTGAGTATCTTGTGGAGAGCAAGTATTGATGTTTCCTCCCAAAAATTCCACTTCAGTGTGAATGGAAATGACCCCTGCGTGATTTCTAGACAGCAGCCATCATCAAGATTCCACATTTTTGTTACAGTGTTTAAACTACCTACTACAGTTTAAGCAACACAAAGCTAGTTATGAATAAATGTATTAAACCTTTCAACACAGTATCATCTGCTCATATTAGCATAAAACAGACAATGGCAGCTTTTGCTCTATCAGCAGTTGTTATCAGTATTTTTTAAATGTATTGATATTTGACTCTCTTGAGGTGTGGAAAATACTGTTCAGTATTACTTATTAAGCAAAAAGTACAGAATTTCTTATATACTGTAATTTTGTCTTAACTCTGTGACTCATTCAGTATGCATTTTATGTGGGCTCTAGTCTTATTTTTCATCTGTTAGATGTGGGTTTCAAACTGTTCAGCCTGTAAAATTCATTGTTTTCCTTCATTAACATTAATGTGGTTAGATATTTATCTATACTTTTGTAAGTAAATATTTTCACTGTAACCACATTAAATTGCATGTAGATCATATTGTAGGGACATGTCTGCAATGTGTTTAGAACATGAAATGCTTTTGTATTTGTGTGCACAGAAATAAATAGTTGTACATTAAATCATATTGTGTATTATAATTGTAAACTAGCTCTGAATCATGAAAAACATTTTAATTGAAGTCCCAAGAAAACACATTCTTCTTGTGCTCAGAGGTATAACTTACAAATAACAGCTAAAACTAAACCAAAGAATCTGCACTTAATAGAAACCAAAAACTCAGTTAGAGTCTACAAGAATTCACTCACAGGTGATAAGAGCAAGTAGGAAAAAAACAGATGAGAAAACATGACAATACTGAGGTCTTAGATTTATTCAATGTACTACATTTAATTTACAGAGATCCCTAGTCTCAGTTTATTTGTCATTTTTCGTTCTTAGTTAAAGCAAGCATGCAAATATTATGAGAAATTGAAGACAATAAAATAATCTTTACTTTGTAATGGCTGCCAGAAAAGTAATGCAATTTTGTCAGACTTTGCTATTACGGCCCGTCTGAAACGCTATACGATATTATTATACAGAATTATTCAATATAATCAACAGCAGCTGGATTCACTTTGATGGTTTCTACATGCAAATTAAACATAAACAGTACCGACAGAAATGTTGGAGAATAATGCAGGGGGCCATTGTCATCCATTCTGAAATGACATGGCAAATTGACCTGTTCATTGGATTTTCAAAATGTTATTAAATAGGTATTCATCTTCCACCATTTTAAGCAGTGAGGGTTTTTGAAAAATCCTGAACAGTCAGAGAACAAAGCTGTATTTCAAAGCTGACCCTTTGGCCAATTAGCACATTAACGACTGGGTAGAAAGGTCTCCACTTCCCTGTAGGTTTTCTTCTATTGAAATAAGATTATTCATAATAAGATAATAAGATTAGAGACATGCTGAAGTGATCGTATTATAGAATTGTTGTTTCGCTGAAATCAGATTTTTTGAAAGTTTTACTCACCTTTAATTATTGGCTCTGCAAATAAAAATACCTTTATCATGTTTCAGACTTAATGCTTCTTGCCAGTGGTATGTTTCAGGACTCGCATCTTCCCACATTGCTTGATGTGATCTTAAGCAAATGATTTAGGTTCATTTTAACTTTATGCATGTCCCTATCGAACACAGGGACAAAAGGAAGATCCCTTTAAAAGGTGTGGTGCATGTGTTGCAATGCTAGTGTGAGCTTTTTCGCCACTAGTGATGTACAATTTTAGCTTTGGGGCAATACTTTTTTATATTCCACCATGCAAAACATATCTTTGCAGCTTATATGGGGGGTTGCATTAACACAAGCTGCACAAAGGTGGGTAGGTGGGTGAGTAAAGGTTTAGAGAAGCACACAAAGTACTAGAGACTCAGATGGTAAGAAGGAAAGACTGAAAAGATTACTAGCAGGGCTTGCAAAATGTGTTTCTCCTGGCACATCTCCACTTTTTCGCTTCAAAACAGTCACCTCACAGTGCATGTCATTGAAAGAACAATCTACTGTACAGTATGTCAATGGGCAACCCAAAGACACTAATCTTTAGGTCGAATTTTCCTCACTCTTCATTGACTTCATTTACCAGAGAAATGTCTATTCATCCATCTACGTCCATCCGTTTTCTAACTGCTTTATCCAACATGGGATCAGGGGGAAGCTGGAGCCCATCCCGGCAAGCAACGGGCACAAGGCAGGACACACCCTGGACGGGACAGCAGTCCATCACAGGGCCCCCACACCCTGGACAGGACGCCAGTCCATCACAGGGCCCACACAGATACAGACACACACACACCCTGGATGGGACACCAGTCCATCACAGGGCCCACACAGATACAGACACACACACACCCTGGACAGGACGCCAGTCCATTACAGGGCCCCCACACACCCACACAAGGGCCAGCTTTCCCAGAAGCCAAGTAACCCACCAGCCTGTCTTTGGACAGTGGGAGGAAACCAGAGCGCCCAGAGGAAACCCATGCAAACACAGGGAGAATGTTCACCCATCAACAGAACGAGTACATTTAGAAAAGGCAAGGTACAGGCTGCTTTTCGTTATTAGCTGTTATTTCCTAAGGTGAAGAGACCCACATCACATAATGTCATAGGTTAGAATACACATCACTTCCAGACAGTGAAGACAAGGAAACTCTGTATTTAATATCTTGTTTTGTACATTGACCTATCTGTTATGAGCCCCTCCTTGTTTACTCTTTGGATCCCACCAGGACTTTGTTTCTGCTTTTTACTGCCTTTTTTTTTCGACTCTACCCGCAAAACGGCTGTGAACTCGCAACGTGCTTCCGTAGCCCACAAAGACAGAGACCGAAGACGCCCTCGGCTTCCCGGCTTGCGATTTATCTGCCGTGTTTTACTCACCTGATATGTCGAAACAGGAGAAGCAGCGATGAACGGCGTGATAGATGTGTGTGCAATCATACGATTTGTAGCAATACTGTATGGTGAGGAATAGAATCTGGGAATGAGAACAAAGAAAAAAGCAATATGAGAACAGCTTTTTGTCAATAATCCTTAGCCAGCACAGACTGGCTCTCATTTGCATTATATATTAGAAACACTGGAGTGCAGTCTATTTTTTCCCATGTTCGAAGGCCAATAAATGCCCTGTAGTATTAACTTTTGTTACATATTTAAAGCTCCTTTAACGATTTGTGCAATCAGTATAGTAGCCCCTTGCACTGTAGGAATGCATAACGTGTTCAAAAGAAAATGCATATAAACAAACAAACTAATAGTATGTACACCAATAATAATGTATATTACTATTAAACAGTTATCCGCATAACAGGCTCTGCAAGAAAAATATATCTTGTTATAAGAATAAAGCTAGATTTTCTCTTAATGGTTAATTCATACAGTTTGCTGAACAGCAGCTGTCTCCATATTCACTTTGGAGAGGAACTCACTGACATCAATATTATTTTGACAAAACTTATTTTGAAAGAGCTGGAGTTTATTTGAAGTGGTGCAGTTTCAAAAATAAATTTAAGCTACGAGTCAAATTCTTAACTGTATGCAATGCTCAAATTGGGGGTAGGTTTTAATTATGGTGTATGCTTGTTCGGTGCTGATTCCAAACAGATTTCCCGGCTGGACACAGTAAAACATCTTGACTAAGGGACACGCCCCAGGCCTGTCACCATGTAGCCCAGTTTCCTCGCTGTCTCCTCATCATCCAACACCCAGCTCACTCACATTATACTAAATTGGTGACAATCAATGCTATGCCTTTTTTTAGAAAGTACATGAAGTCAGAACTACAGCGTTGTGCACTTTGGCAGTGGGGTGGCCCACAGGGATCATGGAGGAAGCAGGTGGCGTGGGCACTTTCCCAGTGCCAGGTTTCAGTGCCTGGGAAGAATTTCCATATGTAGCACATTTACACCATGACAACATCTGAGCTTCCAGAAGAAAAGTCTATATGTGTACTTGTGTGCGACAGAAAAGAATCCAGAAAATGGAATTAAATAAACCAAGGCCATAGGGGATGAGAATGAGAAGGCTCACAGGTTTACTGCAGTAATCAAAAAAGATCACTTTGTTGTTAAATCAAACAGTATGAAAAGGCATGTGTTGTACATAGGTACTGTATTTGCCCATTACAGTATGTGGTGATTTTATTGCCAAGCAAATATTCATCTCCACTTCAGAAATGTGCTAAAACAGGCACATTTATCCAGCTCTCTCCCTGATATCCAGCTATTTATGTTCTAAGTAAATCACTATGTTTGACATAATTGCCTACTGCATCATAACTAGCTACCGACTTTATCTATCCATGCTTTCAGAGAGCTTGTTTATAATCAATAGGAATAGGCAGGACTACATTTATTTCCTATCCCTATTCTCTAACCTTTCATTTATTACTATTATTGCTACGTTTTATTGATTTTCTATCCCTCTAAAAAATTAGAGACTATGTAGAACACGAAGTGCAGTGCTTTATTTCTTATACACCGAGCACCAAAACGAACTTATCACTTCCAACTGTAGCAAATTTACAAAAGGTATCATCAGGAAAATAATACTATACTTTTAAAGCACTCTTACTGTATGTTCTTACATCACGCGGGTTAATACTCAGCTGATTAACATTTCTCGTTAACAGGGTTCATGAACATGTGGCCACCACTGGAAACAACACACGTTGTACAACTGCAGTGCATGTTCTGCGTCAGAATCTCATGGAATTCTGTCTCACTGCTCTTGTAAAGCCTGGGTAAGGATGTGCCTCCGCAGTGGTCTGTGAGTCTTAAAGGCCACACCTCCTCCCAGCTCATCCTACAGACATCGAAAGGAGCTCAATGATGTGTCAGGCATCTGCCGTTGAACTTGCATTCTCACCCAGCAAGAAATCTGTTGTTACATAATTGAATGAGGGCATGTGTTGTCCGGCTGGACTGTTGTCACATCACAGGAAGTGATGTCACAGCACAGGAAGGGCACAAAATGAGCTCTCAGTACCTTATCGAATCGAGCACTGACATTCAGACTGTCAGTAATCGCTACAAGTGGAGCTCTGCCTCACTCACACTGACATCCATCAGGGTGGTCTACACAAATCCCCGATTCATACTGTCGTTTTAGAGGACTTGTTCCTTCTCTGAGGATGAACATTCTCTGAACATGACTCCTAACTATAATATACGCCACAAACTGTTCGCTCACTTACCAATACCCCCTTGCACTTGATGCAAAGCTGAATATAACAAACACTTAACAAATTCATTTTGGCAACATTTTAGCAGGGAACACGTTCCTCACCGGCATATTGCTGATGTACAGACAATCATGCGGAAGGCATATCCTCACAGTAAGGACACCACAGGGGCTCTCCTTTAATATGGCAGGACCCCAGAAAGTGTTTCCAGAATTCTACAATAACATTCATTATGTTATTAATGATAACAGAATAGGAGAACGCTAATAATCCTCTGCTGATTTAATAATCCAAAGTGGGCTTGAAAGGCCCTCAATTGATGCCGTGCTGCACCTTCTTCAGGCTGAGTAGAGCCATTGAGCCCAGATGCTGACAGTTCTGAAAATGCATTGCCCTCTGGTATACAACCCAATTTTAAGAGTTTATGATCCTTTATAGAATATTACGTTTTCAGATGTGAAACAAATTTAACAATTTGCATTTCTGTGGTGTTTTGGTTGTGGTTGTGTCCATGGGGAAAAAAACGACAGTAAAAATCAATATGATAAAATAGTAAAAGTAAATAAGTAATGAGGAGGTTTAAAATATATACAAAAATAAAATATTAAATATAATCACTTAAGATATTACAGTTTGTGATATTTAATGTATTCAGTATCACGTACCAATACACCAAACAGATAACTTTTCAGGCCTAAAGGACTGCTTAAGAACCTACAAAAATGATTCACATCTTTGATTATAAATATCACATTTGCAAACCATAATAGTTGTCACAGCTCTTGAACACCTAAAAAAATCAGTTTTATCAATCCCTTGCTGTATCCACACTTCCCATGCCCAAATCGTTTCCTTTTATCCACAGCTCATTCAAGTTGCAGTTGTTTGGTATTTACCTCTATAAAAGTCACCAGCCAGCCCCAGTTTCCTCAGTGTTTGAGGCAGTGGTGCCCCCCTGTGGCCAGATAAACTCCTGTGAGCTCACAGTACTGGTGAGAACTGCGTCAGTACTCCAGCAGACACGTCAGTTTGCTGTTTGAACCAGCACTTGCAAAGGGGGCATGGTTCTGATTTTTAGAGGGAGTGTGCTGGTAATCTCTGAAGTTTAAGTCTTGTTCTGAGACACAAAGTGCTAGTCTGTGTTTATCAGCGATCATCTATTGTGAGACGAGGAGTCTTAGAATTAAACACAACTAGAAATTCAATGAAAAAATAAAACCAATGAAAAATATCCTTACCCGTTCTGCATAGCAGCAGGGTCATATGTTAATGCCATTCCAGTCTGAAACAGAGAGAACAGCTTGATATTCAGCAAAGAAAACAAGGTACAAACATTTGGTTACAGGATAGACTGATAGCAGAGGCTAATTTTACAAAACAAACCGAGAAATATTTCTGGAATTTCTTAAAACTTGTTTTATAGCAAAATAAAACAATAACGTGATGACACAAGTACAAAACAGAGAAAACAACTATGCAACTTTGTGGAATTAGAAAAGCAGCTGTTGCGCAGCACACCGATTTGACCTAACTTTGTTATTTCACTTTCCAAGATAAACTGATCCTTCATGCTGTCAGTACTCTGGCTGGCAAATAATTCCCTGACATTCATGTTGTTGTTGTTGTTGTTTTCTCTTTATTGGATTGAAGAGTAACCCACCTGCAATAAAAACATTCCTTACTCATGTTTCAAATAACCTGCAAGCAGCAATTCGTCTTGTGCTTTCTGGTGCACCATCCCTGTAGAGCGATAACTAGATTTCCACCCTTTCTAAAAGTTGCTGAGGATGGCATATTAGCAACACAATTCCCTTTCCTTTCTTGAGAGGGTTCTATGCAAATAAATGCTTAAGCAAGCATGCCTGTTCTCGATTTTTTTCCTAATTGTTGTAACTCGCCTTAATCAGATACCCAAACTCAGTATTATTAAAAATATGCTGCAAATCAAAATGTTAAATTATCTGTTTTACAAAGCTTCTTAATACAAAATAAATAAAAATATTTGACCTCAGGGCTAGTCTTATCCAACACACATGCCACCGACAGTAGCTACTAGTAATTTCTTTTCTCCAGAGACTGAATACATGTATTATGAAATTACAAGTCCTGTAGTATCACAAACTGGCTACGACATTCATATAAACTTGGCATCAGTAAATTATTCACCATGAACATAAGGCCCATTGACAATATACTGTAACCCCACAAAGAATTTGTACATTTTAATATTTTTACAACAGCTACACGAGGAAGTAATTTTCCAAAGACAACCAGAGATTTCTATATCACATTTTAGTGCCAAGGCATGTGTCTTTTCATGTTAATGTTTCCTGAAACCAAACATTTTTTTCTCTTATTTTATCCAACACAAGGTTAGCCAGTGAGAGAGTATTTACACGTTTTTTTAAATGTTCCACAAAGTAGTCCTTGTCTTGACTTGTCTTGGTTTTTTTAGCTATTTATTCAATTTTCCACTGTAAAGAAATCATGCATTTGCTTCTTCAGATGTGCACTAGGTGCACAGACTGATAAGAAGCTATTGGGTTTAATATTAGGCATCAGAAATTGGGAACACATTTCTAAACAAATACTAAACATAATAAATTCATAAAGATTCAGAATTGACTGCTAGAAGTGGTTGATTCTAACCTTTTAGCTACTACAGATACTACAGCGATCCAAACAGAATGATTAAAAATTGAACAATTTGACTAGGATTCACTACATTGTAAAGAAAAGGTCCTGGTTTAGCATTATGTTCAATGCTGTAGTTCAGTTTAAATAATAAATTCAGCATTGTTTATTCTTGTTCTTATTTTTCCTGCTATGCATCTAGTCTTTTTCTCCTTCCTTTCCGAGATGTGTTTGATGACTAATTGTTGCGAGACTCTGCAGGAATATTTCTGAACTTTGCAGCCAATGTAAAAGTCAAATCTCTCACAGTTTTCCTGTAGGATTTTTTTTTGAAATGTTAGGGCAATACTCTGAGGGTGACCTTCGTATGTCATCCTGCCCTGACTATTAATGTTTGCTATTAATTATTTTGAAGTATCTTCTAAACATTCTTCATGTGCTTCATGAAATGGAGTTGTCTGTACTGTTACACAGCCAGAAGACAGAATATTTTACTTTCTAACACAGCGGTCTTTCTTGTTCCCAGAATGTGTGATGAGAGCATGAAATGAGGCAACAGAAAATTCAGCTTTTAGTAACGATGAATTATTCAAATGTTTATGCTAAAAGTATTTAATCTTTAATATGCGGCATGGAAGACCGCAACTTCAGTTTATGCATAAAAATATGCATTTATTTTTCTTCACAATTTTGTTCCAGTACCTTCCAAAGACATGCTGGTAAGATAAACGGTCTCCTGAAACTAGCCCTGTGTGCTCTGTGCGTGTGTCCAGCACTGGAGTGGTGCCCAATCCAGACCATGGTTCTGTCTTGTGCCCTACACTTGCAGGGTGGCTCTGTGACCCATGATAGGAATAAGAGGCTACTCCATCAAGCAAACTGAGAAAATCACAATTATTACAGTTTTTTAAAAGGACACAGTCTGCAAAACAGACTTCAGTTTTCTTTAAAACGTTTGGCACTGGATTAACTCTAATACTGCTAATTTTATGTTAGATTCTTTCTGACAGACGTTGTACTAAAAAGTCACAGAAAATAAAAATCAGTTAAGCATCAAAAGACATGCAAAACGTAAAACACATTCACTGTGGCCAGATGAGGTAGTTTCAGCATTTTGCTTACTGCAGCTGTTAGGTTTTACAAAACACGTTTTTGTGGCATTTCTATTTGAACCAACCTCCTGTACTAGTGCCTAGGCCATTAATTAATGTCTATAATGTCACATGCAATTAGCAAAACACTGGAAAAAGAAAAGGCATAAAATTAGTGATACACTTTACATTGAGTTAGTAATGGTACTGTATAAGTTGAGAACCCTTGCTTCTGACACCTTTTAAAAATGTCCTTCAGCTCAAACACCAGAAATATATCATCAGTCAGATTTCATAAGCATTTACCCCCCTAAAAGGTTCTTGCCGTTAAAACAATATTCCCATCTTTATTCCACCAGGGAACTGGAAAAAAATTCTCTTTGTACTACGTCGTGCTGGTGCAGTACAGTGCGACCATCATTTAGCGCTAACTATTCCCAGATATATTTTGAGACACAAGAAGAGATTAAATGCCTGGTTAAAAGGCATGGCTTAAATGTGCCCAGATGTCTGGGCGTATTAAGAGGTCTCCGAAACAGCATGGCTGTCTTTTTTTTCCCCCTTTCCTCAGTTCTGGAGCGGCACGATTGATTTTTTTTGTTGTTGTTCCCAGGCTCTGCCCTGATTTTAATCAAGCTCTTAAAAGCCCAGCTGCAGGAGTCCAGCAGGTGCTTGTTTACTAAACTCATCACACGCTCACCTCTCCTTCTCTCGGCCACGGTCTTCCATTCTGGGGGTATTTACTTTGATTCTGTCGCTTCTTTTGCCCTCCATCAGCAAATTTGCACAGCAAAGGCTCGGCGGGGGCTGGGGAAAAAAGAGCACAGGCCAGGGTTCGTGTTAGAAAAACAGGAATGCGATTATACCAGGGAAACAGTGAAGCTTTGTAAAACCTGAGCGCTTTTGATGTCAGATGGTTTTCCCCTTTTTTCACTTGGTGCTGAAACTTTCAGTCTTTCGCCTCAGCTCTTGGCAGCAGGCCCTCCTAACCGAACATCAAAAACCCACTGGCAGGTCTTTAAAGTGCATAACTTTACATCGCTGAAATAATAATCAGGATAATCACGCTGGTAAATAACTTAAAGACGATAATAAGCAGCTGTTCCATCAGCCAAAAGTAATTTCTTTACGGCATGACAATATTTTTTTATTTTTTTTTGGGACGATTTGGTTGAGCGTTATAGCAGACGCTGGCCAGTTTTAAAGGCAAGTGAGGGCTTTCTTCATGACAGTGTCTTTGTCTTTTGGGTGAGTCTGGGTAATGTCTTTGTTGCGAATTTCACCATGACATGACGTGCAGTCAATAACAGGATGGAAAAAGTACTTCCAGATGCCCTTTTAAATAAAAGTTCCAAAGCCAACCCAGAACAATACTAGAAGTAATCGTACAAGGTGCAGTGTTCAAATTATCAGGCACTGTGTTCTTTGCAAATTCATTCAAGCTTATGAGCCTGATTGTGCAGACCACTAATGGCCAATAAACAGATCTGCTGGAAGGAAGAGAAACAAGTCCACCGGGAAACGTGGAAATCAAGGCGCACCACCATGAAGCACTGTTTTAGCAGCAGGCTTTCTGTTCTTTTTGCTGCTTTTTATATTCTGACTCATGTAAGAATCCACTTATTGCATGTAAATGTACATTTTCTGGTGTGGGCCTACAGCTGCACTAAAACCCAACCTCTACACCACCCAACATGGCTAACCCGGGCACAGGCTTCTTCGTTAAGGTACTTTTTTAACAGAAAACTCACAACAGCTATTTTAGTTGCAGAGATCTCAGAAGGGGTTTTTATTTTATGTCAGAACCGCCCTGCAGACTGGCTCAAAAAGATGAAAATTCTAAATATCTACGGAGCATTAAATATATACTTTAAGCAGGACAGAAAACCTTTTTCTATGCAAACATACTGTATGTAAGAGCATACGTCCTCTATATAAAAATAGTTCATATACAGTAGTTAAACATAACTTAGAGGCCAAGCTTTTAAAAGTGCTTTGATGACCATCACAAAGTCCTGACATGATCCTGATTGAGGCCATATGGGATTACCATGAGCCAGAGAAAAATAAGAGGACATGTAACCTGTGGAATGCTTTAAAAGATATATGGCTATAAATTATAAAAAATATTCCAGTTTCACTCTGGATTCAAGAGTGAATTCATAGAAGAAAACAAAAGAAAATGAAAGAGTGAAACTATTAAGCAAATCCTTTATGGTATTTTACTTGTATTATACTGTATATACAGTACCGTGTAATAAAACTGACATTTTATATTCTTTATTAAAATTCATACTCGGATACAACAGTAATATACTAAAGAGTAAAGGTTTATACGTCATTTGAAAAGCCTAGAATTTTTCAAAGCACTGAATGTTTTAATCGGTAAACGTAACAATCGCAACCCAGCCTTACACAAAAGAATGAAATGATCTATCCGTATGCAAATTTCTTTTAAAATTTCATGAAGCAGATTTAATTTACTGTTGAATGGTAATTTCATTGGACTTATCATGTTTAACTGAAAAGACTTAAAAAAAACTGGAAAGAAATGAAAATGAGTGTTTTAAAATTACCCTGGAAAAATAAAATACATTTTATGTGCTGATAATACTCAAGAAAACAAAAGATAGCTTGTGTCCTGCTTATTTCTTTCTGTTACAACAAAGTAATATGAAACTGTGAAACAGCATTCTGGAACAATTTCCCACTAAAAGTTCTTTATTTAATTTCAAATAATCATGAAAACCTAGAATGACACATATCTGTCAAACCTACACAAGGTTACGATCAAATATGTTAAACATCATTTGGAATAAGATTTTCAATTGATAGAATAATATATATACAGTATTACATAGAGAGTATTTTTTTCCCTACAATTAACTTCTGTTTCTAATACAAGGGTGTTTTGAAGCGTTCAGACCTAGTGTTCTGTTCAGTGTTCTGAGGTCATGCTAACTGGCTGTGGACCACTCCTGTTTAAGAAGGTTGTTGATGGTACCAACGTCGGTGTCCTGCTGCAAGTGAGAAATCACTGTGTAAGTTCTGAGCTGTCTTTTGTAGTATCAGCAAGATATAATTTTTGTACAACATTCCTTGGATGTTTTGTTAAAAATAAATTCATTTTATAGTGAATAAAATTGAACAGCATCCACATACAGTACGTTTCTGCAGAACCGTAAATGTAAAATACACGTAACACCAGCACACAGACTGAACTGGCTGCATGTGAAATACTGGGCTGATGACAAAATTCTGTTTCTCCTTTTAATGCCTAAAATGCTTCCTTTTAAGCCCCTGATTACCTAAAAGATTTAATGCATGAGTACATTTCCCACACACAATTTACGATCACCGAAGCCCAACATCTTATTCCATCTAACACAAGACTTTGCTTTTGTGTGACATCTCATTTAAAGAAGCACTTGTTAAATATGGCTTTTATTGATTCATTCTTTCCTCTGGTCTTATTTAACTGTTGTTGACTTTTAATTGTGTTTTGTGTTTTTAGTGCTTTATTTATTTAATCTGTGTACTGTGCTTTGAGATGTGTGAAAAATAATATTAGGAGTAATACTCAACATAAAGCACTTTGTAGTTTGACAGCAGTGGTCTCTGTAGCAGAAACAATTTTGAACCACCCTTGTAAAAAAAGCACAGTGTAGCACTGTTTTTTTTTTCCAGTGTAAACAGGCACATCCATGCAAAAAAGGAGATAAAACATTTGATGAAAATCCCACTGTTCCCTTTGATTAGCACAATTTGAAAAGCTCTTTGAGGGCTTTTCAACACAGGTGGAAACCATAGAGGAAATTAAAAGGAAGCAGAAGAAAGCTCACAAAAAATGTAGCTGTAGCCTCCAACTTGCAACACGGAGAAAGCAAAACCAAAAAAAAAAAAAAAAGAAATTGCAGCTCAACCTGCGTTTTATGAGATTTATTCAAAAAGGAAGCTGAGATGCTTGTGGAATGTCAGGGTTTTATTGTAGCTCTCTAGTGTTAGTGATATTTTGGCTATAGAAATAACTGGAACAATAGAGTCAAAGAGTCGCAGCTTACATGAGTTTTTGTCTGTATAAAAGTCGACTTACACCTGTAAGAGCAATTACTATCTATTGCTTGTCATCAGCTTTTTATTAAGAGATCCTGCACTGCAAGGCTGATAAAACAGAGAGAATTGTTGTATGTAATAGATGATAGTGCTGTTTTCTCCTTTGTAAATTTACACCAGATTCCTTTTCATGTTATCACTATCCCATATGCCTCATGTGATGTTGTACTGTTTGCTAAAATGACGACCACAGAGTAATGAGGCACTGATCCAGTTTCGATATAACTAAGTTGGTTCGAAAACTTAATCTTTCTTAAAACGTTTTATTTAAAAACATTTTTTCCATCAATAAAAAATAGAGCGGACAGAAAATAACAGTAAAGTTGTAACAGTAACTACAGAAAACAACAAGATTACCTGGGTTCACTTGAAGTATTATGTACAAATTGAACTTGAAAACAGACAATTTGCAATAATAAAAAAAAAAACTATTGCCGTTATAACTTGCCACATCAACAGAAAATGTTCACATTACAGAAACAATGTATGACATTGAGCTAGATTACACTTTTCCTATGCAAAGAAGTGTGACAGCATGTTTTCAAATTGCGTTTGAGCTGGCCAAATTGACACGAAAATGTGATAAAAAGTGCACATTGCTTTGATCTAATCTGTATAACCCATCATTTTTGCACTCATATTTTGTGTATTATATATGTATAATATGTATATAATACATGGTTTAATTATACAAGATAATGGCAATCATGGGCATGAACAATTTAAATCATTCCAGTACCTTAAATTGACTGAATCAGCAACAAGAAACTGGGTATGTGAGATTGACTGTGATGTGAATGAGATTAGCTCTTCAAATTATAGCTTCTATTTGACATTCTGATAGTATAGAATGGAAGATGAACAAGTAGAGATTAAATTAACAGAATGATTAAAATGTACTGTAAGTGACAACAGGATGTAATTTGGATTTACAAGAACGTTTGTTTAAAGGTATTGCCTCACTAGTAAAGCAAAGGAAAATAAAGCCCATGAATCCTTAAAACTTAAAATGAACTTCTAAACTTGAAAGGACAGTTTTGTAACTCTTTGATTCATGGAAAGAATTTGAAAGTCATGATCCCGATAATACTGTACTTAACCTGATTTCAAATAGCTAAAGTAGGGTGCCAACTGTTTTGGTCCATCAGGGTACTCAATTCTGAAAGACCAGCTGTCTTTCATTATCTCCAGATTTACAAGCATGAAAAACACTAAAGTCCAAGTAAGAGCGTTGTGCAGGTCCAATTAAGTGATTCAGTACAAACCAATAATTGGACACTGTTTTGGCAACATGATGTCCACTGTGTAGTCAGTTAAGTCAATTAAGAATGATCATTGTCAATCCTCTGATTATCCAGTTCTGCCTTTACTTAAGAACCATAAAGGAATAGTAGTTCTACTCTTATAAAACAGTGAGACAATACGTATGCTTCTTAGAATGTGTTCTTGACTTGTGGGCTTTTAACAGGATTTTAACACAAAATTTGAAGGACGTCATTTGATCCTTTCTTGAAAGATATTTTAACCATCAAAAATCACTTAAGTCATCAAATACCACTTAACAGGAGATAGATGTGTAAAAATATTTAAATGCAAGATTAAATTCCCTGCATTTAAATCTTTCAAATTAAATCTATGCATTTCCCGTACCACTGAATGATGATGGGAAACCTGCCTTCCGATAATCACATCGC